AAGACTGGTCACTGCTGCTCTCTCTCCTTGTGCAGGGTGACTGGTCTTGTCTCTGTCCCCTCCCATAATAAGACCGCTCACTGCTGCTCTCTCTCCTTGTGCAGGGTGACTGGTCTTCTCTCCGCCCCCTCCTGTACTACAGACCGCTCACTGCTGCTCTCTCTCCTTGTGCAGGGTGACTGGTCTGGTCTCCGCCCCCTCCTGTAATAAAGACTGCTCACTGCTGCTCTCCTTGTGCAGGCTGACTGGTCTTGTTCCCGTCCCCCTCCTGTAATAAAGACCCGTCACTGCTGCTCTCTTTTCTTGTGCAGGGTGACTGGTCTTGTCTCTGTCCCCCTCCTGTAATAAAGACTGGTCACTGCTACTGCTCTTTCCTTGTGCAGGGTGACTGGTCTTTTCACTGCCCCCTCCTGTAATAAAGACTGCTCACTGCTGCTCTCCCTCCTTGTGCAGGGTGGCTGGTCTGGTCTCCGCCCCCCTCCTGTAATAAAGACCGGTCCTTTTTAAAGTTCTTTGGAAAGCTGAAAAGCCATCATTGTCAATTATGTATTAAAATCTCTCATGAATACAATATACTGTATGTATATATATATACAAAGTTTTAACATAAGGGCAAGGCTTTTTTATTTTTGGCTATGTGCCTGTTATTTTCTGCGGGTTCTCAGTTGAAAGTAACTGTCACTTTCTAAACATAAAAATCCTTATCCCGGTGTGTGAATTTATTAAAATATCTTCTTTTCCTTTGAAATGATTAACCAAACACAAATATTTGTTATTTACTATTCTCTTTTTGTGTATTTTGTTTTTGATTACATTTACAATGGCAAACCCCGACGTATGCTATCATTCTATGTGCTTTTGTTTATTTTGTTACCTTAACAAAACAAAAAAAAAAAAGGATATTTACAGAATACAAAGGGTTATGCAGGGAAACCGTTTCTGAAATAAGAATAAGAAGACGGTTTGGAGGCCGGAGGTCTGTCAGGACAGAGCCGGATCATTCACAAGGCAACCTAGACAGGTATCTAGGACCCGGTGTACTGTATGTCTGGGGGGCCCAGCGATGACCCTCAAGAATTCCCCTGGCCAAAGCTGTAAACTGGTCAATCGTTTCATAAGAGAGGATGGACTTGTGGGCAGTTGGTGTCTGTCATTGTAGACAATGCAAATGGGGTGACTCTCTGTGCCCAGCGTAATCCTTCTCAATGGAAGGTGGGGGGCAGAAGGGACAAAGCTGCTACCTTGTCTAGAGCCCCATACTGCTTAAGGCCCCATTCACACTGAGCGATTCGCAAATCGCGCGTTTGTCGCACGATTTGCATTTTGCGCGATATCGCGGGGTTTGTCGTGCGATATCGCGCAAATGCTTGCATTGAGCAACCTAGAATCGGTGCAAAATCCGCTCCAAAAAGGGTCCCGCTGTAGCGACGCACGACCCGCGACAGCGACGGACAGAGCCCCATTGACATGCATTGGAGAGCGATATTGCGCGGTAAATATCCGCGATATCGCGCGGATTACCACGCGATAAATTGCTCAGTGTGAATGGGGCCTTAACCTCTGCCACAGGGTGCCCAACTGTGCAATAAAAGCTCAGTTTAAGAGATCTAAATGTATTCTAACAAAGTGTTTTAGCAGCGATCGTGTTCCGAAGCACGGGCGGAATCGTGGCGGAAAACCGCGCGATGCACCCGCCGTGACTGGGATGCCATTAGAAAATAATGGCACCCACAGTGCGATCGGTGCACACCTAGGCGGCTCCTGACCGTGTGGCAATCCGCGCAGAATCGTGCACAATTGCCGCGCGGTGGGTTGTCGCCTAGGTGTGCACTGGCCCTCAAAGCTAGAGCTCTGCAATCATCATTACAGATTGAAAAGCTAAAGGGATGACCCGGGTTATGTTTCATAAAGGAAAGGAGGTGTCTCATCTGTCAAACAACATATATGTTACAGTGTTCGTTTTTGGGCTATTTTGCATTGTTGTAAAAAAAACACAGCACCTGTCCTGAGAAATGACATGCAGCCATCTGCATGTAGACAGGAAGTGACTGCAAAGGAGATCAGCAGCACAGAGCTGTAACAAAAGAAGAGAAATGTGAAAACAAGTGTTTTATTATTTAAAACTAAATGACAATTTTGACACACAATTCAAACGAAATGTCATCCAGTTATAGGGTTGCCACCCGTCTTCTTTCACTCGGACAGTCCGGTTTTGGAGTATTGTGTCCGGGTGTCAAGTAGGGTTGCCACCTTTTCTTCAAGCCAAACACGAACACTCTAGCAACGCGCAGACATTTTTTGGGGAGAATAAGTCGTAGCTTATTCATATGTACATAGCGCCGCCCATTCATGTGTAAATATCACAGTTGATACTGTTTTCAGTGGGGGGCCAGTAGTTCCTATCTTAATTTTGGTTGTCCCTGTCTGCTTGACATCTTGTGTCCAGGTTTCTTATGCCATGAAACCCGAATACAGCATTCAAAACCCAGACTGTCCGGGTGAATCTCAGACAGGTGGCAACCCTAGTGTCCAGCCAGCGGACACCCTTACACAAGTCACTTAGTACCGACACCACACAATTCACCTGAGAGTCAAATAGCACACCTGAGAGCTGCATAGCCCATCTAGGAGTCACAAAGCCCACCAGAGGCGCACAGTCCATCTGAGAGCTGCATAGCCCACCTGAGAGCTACTGAGAGTTACATAGCCCAGCTGAGAGTCGCACAGCCCACCAGAGAGACGCATAACCCACCTGAGAGCTGCTTATCCCACCTGAGAGTCACATAGCCCACCAGAGAAGTGCACAGCCCACCTGGCAGTCGCATAGTCCCCCTGAGAGGCGCACAGCCCACCTGAGAATCGCACAGACCACCTGAGAGTCGCATAGCCTACCTGAGAGTCGCACAGCCCACCTGAGAGCCGCATAGCCCACCTGAGAGCCGCATAGCCCACCTGAGAGCCGCATAGCCCACCTGAGGGTCTCACATCCCACCTGAGCTGACTCTTCTTGCTCTTTCTCCTGGCTGCCTCCTATCTCTCAACCCTATCCAGTTAGGTTTTAAATATACTTCAATCCACCACTGGGAAATACAGGCACTCATTGTAAAAGATTTCTGCAAGTGCACCATCATGGCGTCTCTCTGTATCTACAATGCAGAAGCAGGTGAGGCCAAGCAATGTTACATAGCTCTAGACTATATTTAACACGTTTTGAGTTTCATAAAATATATTATATTATATTTATTATTATATTTTCCTCCATTAAAGATACTCTCTTAATGAATGAGTACACATACACATACTACACAACGTGTTTTACAGGAGACTCTGTGATTGGTCACAATGAAACCCTGGAGGAAATACTTGCCATCTTATTGGCTCAGTTGCCTGTCAGCCGATGGAGGGCGGGTGGTGTTGTTATAGTAACCGGGAGAAGCTGGGGAAGGACGAAAGAACAGGACAGGTGCGCTAGTAAAAGTAGAGCGTGATGGGTTGACGGTGCCCAAAGCTGATTGGTTACATTCTCCATGAACTGAACGCTGAGTGGTAGATCGTTGCCAGGACCCCGAATTGCTTTACTCACATTGGCTATCAGTGACTCTGTCAGACGGGAAGCCGGGCTCTGACTGGAGAGATGTCTTTTGGTCACACTGGGAGGGGGTACGAGCGCTGATTGGCTGTCTGTATTGCAGTCAGGCTGGGGGCCAGGCGCTGATTGGATGGCGAGGAAGCACGTGTTCCGGTGACTTGAAGAGTCTCCGGCGTGTATGGGGCTCTCTGGCCTGCTGTGGAGGCGCTTTTGCCGGCCTGTCATCATGTCTCAGGCCGAGGTTCGGGCCTACAGCGGACGCAAGAACAAGGCGCCCAAGGAAACCCTCCGGCATATCAAGAACAAAGAGAAGCTGAGCAGGACCGGCTGTTTGGGGCCCCACACCTTCTATGTGCAGGCTGTGGCGGCCGGGAGCCGGGACTCCGGTGCCTCCCTCTACCTCTTCTCCGAGCACAACAGGTGCCTGAGGGGGAAAGGGCAATGGGGAGACTGGGGGGCGCATTCCGGGGTCAGGAGGGACCACACAGTGTAATCCACTAATGGATAGACAGATTGGGGTAGTATGCTGGGGCCCGTTGGCAGCACATTGGCGGTGGGAGGGCATGCCTTTATGGAGGGGCCACTTAAAGGTTGAGGGGGCATACAGAGGTGACACTGTAGGGAAAGGGGGACCCTACTGGGGTTGGGCACACTGGAATTGGAGGACTTGCTGTGGTCTGGAGGACCCTGCTGAAAGAAGGGGGCGGGGGCACGGGCACGGTGTGTTCTAAAAGGACCCTGCTGGAATAAGGGGGGCGTTATGTTTTCTGGTCCGGGGGTCCCTGCTGGAAGTTGGCAACCTGCTGGGGTATGAGAGGACTCCGCTGGATGAAGATGAACGTGCTGGGGTCTGGGGGACCTGGTGTAATCAGGGGACCCTGCTGAAAGAATGGGACATGCTGGGGTCTAAAGAGACACAGTGGAGACCCTGCTGGAAGTTGGGAGCATGCTGGGGTCCAAGAGGATTCCGCTTGGAGATGATGAATGTGCTGGGGTCTGGGGCGACTCCAGTGTAGGAAAGGGACATGAAGAGGTCAGGGGACACCCTTCTTGGGTCAGGGGGGACTCTTTTTCCCGAGGAAAAATACATGATGGGGGTCTGGGGGGCACTCTGCTTGAAGATAAACTTGCTGGGGTCTGGGGGGACCCCAGTGTAAGAAGGGGACGTGTTGCAAGGATGTGATGCGCTAGGGTCTGGGAGAACTCTTCTGGAGAAAGGGGACATGCTGGGGTCTGGGACGACCCTGTTGGAAGAATGGGGTCGTGGGGGACCACAGTGGTGAGGCAATTCTTGGGCTCAGAGGGGAGATGCTCGTGTCTGGCAGGGCCACACTAAGGATAAAGCAGCACCCAATGTAGGGTGGCATGCAATACATGGAATAGTGAAACCTAGGAGGAGGGACTTATTGATATGGTGAGGTGACCAGTAGGGGTCATAGAAAATGCCCCCTCCCCCAATGTGTGCACTGGTAACAGGAGGGATCAGACAGTAAAGTAAGGGGGGGGACAACTCATTCTGTGGCCTGGGTGGGGGGTGGCAGCCTGGGGATACAGTTCTCTGAGTTGGGGAGATACTGGAGTTACACGTGGGGTATTAGTGAGGGAGGGGGTGACAGCCTGGGGACACAGTTGGGGTGATACTGGAGTCACACGTGGGGTATTAGTGAGGGAGGGGGTGACTGCCTGGGGACACAGTTCTCTGAGTTGGGGTGATACAGGAGTCACACGTGGGGTATTAGTGAGGGAGGGGGTGACTGCCTGGGGACACAGTTCTCTGAGTTGGGGTGATACAGGAGTCACACGTGGGGTATTAGTGAGGGAGGGGGTGACTGCCTGGGGACACAGTTCTCTGAGTTGGGGTGATACTGGAGTCACACGTGGGGTATTAGTGAGGGAGGGGGTGACTGCCTGGGGACACAGTTCTCTGAGTTGGGGTGATACAGGAGTCACACGTGGGGTATTAGTGAGGGAGGGGGTGACTGCCTGGGGACACAGTTCTCTGAGTTGGGGTGATACAGGAGTCACACGTGGGGTATTAGTGAGGGAGGGGGTGACTGCCTGGGGACACAGTTCTCTGAGTTGGGGTGATACTGGAGTCACACGTGGGGTATTAGTGACACCATGGTGAGAGGATTGGCATTGTCTGTAATACTTTCATGTGTTTCCTCCCCTGCAGGTATCTGTTTAATTGTGGAGAAGGGACGCAGAGGCTGATGCATGAGAACAAGTAAGATTTTCCCTTTCTATTAGTTGTACATATGATGATGATGATGATGATGACGAAGACTATAACGCCCTCTGGGTGTATTCCCCATCACAGGCTGAAGTTGTCCCATCTGAATAACGTGTTTGTGACCCGGATGAACTGGGCCAATGTGGGAGGTCTGTCAGGTGAGTCATGTGATAAGCACTGCCACAGTCTGCATTGTGACTTGCTCCCTGCTTGCTTGAAGTCCATTTTTTTTTTTTTTTTTTTACAGTGTTGCTTGTTTTTTCCCACTGTAGGTTTGCTGTTGACGTTGAGGGACGTAGGACTTCCATCCTGCGTGCTGTCCGGGCCTCCCCAGCTGGTAAAATGTTTACCTTTGCTTTTACAGCATTGTGCAGCAGGGCATTGCAGAGAGTAGTGGTGGTGATGCACCAGGATCGGGGTGCAGCAACCTTTAGGGCAGCTGACCCATGAACGATGGTTGGCTCTTTGCTGTAATATGTCACTGTACTTGGCTCGGCACTGGACAAATGTCAGCAGGCAGGATAAAACCATGACAGCCGGCACTCCTTAACCCCTTGCCGCATATGCTGGTAGGCAGTGGTGGGCTTCCCGATCATGCGGTCGCTGTGATTGGCTGTCACAGCAGTCATATGACTGGAATCCTGTCCCACCAGCTCTCGATCTTAAATTGGGACTAGGAAGTGTCGGTGTCAGCTTGGTCACTGTGCTAGCAGGCGCTCTCGGAGCAGAACATCAAGCCACCTGATGCATAGACGTGTACGGCCACCTTCGAGACCTACCTGCTGTTCTGACATGTGTGTGTCATGCTGAAGGGAAGGTGATAATTACTTTCAGGAACCTTCCTTACCTGGCACAGTCTGGTTTCCTCCACCCCCCCCCCCTCCGCAGAAGCCATGGCATTTTCAGGGGGCAGGCACATCTGTCCCAGGTGAGTGTGGTTCTGATAGGTTCACTTGCTTACAGTGTTGACTGGCTGTGTTTTCCACCCCTGTTGGTGCCACACAACTGTACCATAGTATGATATCAAAGGTCCCCTCCATATAGTATTATAAAATATTCTACTTAAAGAAACCTGTCATCAGAAATAATGGCTGCCATCTCTATCCAGCATCTGAAAGTACAAGTTGCTTGTTTGTCATACCAGTCCTCTGACTTAGGAAGCATTAAAGTACATGCCTCAGCATGACAGCCAAGCAAGCAGCATTATTAGGTGGGGACAGCAGCTCTATATTTCTAGCAGATTTCCTTTTGAAGCAACCCTATCCCTTAAGGGTAACCTCCTAACAAAGCACGTACCTTGAAAGGAAGTCGGCAGAAAAACCCATTGAGAGCTGAGGGCCCAGGAGATTGACACGTCTGGAAGTGTCAGTTTTCCAGCAGTCCCTGGAGGACAATGACTTGGCAGCAGAGTGACATTCAGCAGGAGAGGTAAGTATTCCATGTCTTTACAGGATTGTTCTTTAGGAGGTTCCTCTTATGTGACACCTTAAGCCTGTGTGTGATTTGGACTGTTTATGGAGTGTGGTCACTAATGTGTCATTCTTTTTGTTTCCTTTTCGGTTAACACAGGAAAAATTCCTCCAGGCCATCAAGTCCTACTGCGGACCCCTAGAGGACATTAAAGTTGGTAAGCCTTTCTTTGTTTATATTGAGACTAGATGTTGATTACTAGTCATGTGAAATGGCGCCGGATGCTAGATTCTATTCAAGACTGTACACCAGGACTCTTAAGAACTGTAATGGGAAGGAAGTGTTATATGTATAGATCAGGGGTGGGCAACCTCTGCACTCCAGATGTGCTGAAATGTGATGTGACTCCGGCCGCAATGCGATCAGCCACACGTGAACGCAAGGCACATCAATGCCTACAGTCCGGTCAGAAAAAATAGTGCTTGCACGCAGTCAGTATAACGGAGCATCAGTAAAGGGATGTTGACAAGCTCACAGTGGGAATAGCAGCCATGAACTTTTTTTTTTTTGCTTGATGTGGCTGGGTCCTAACTGTATAGCAAAAGTGATCTAGGTGCACCTCCCCCTTCCTGGAGTAGTAGGGGAGCCTGGGACCCAAAAACAAAATGCATTATAATGGCAAACAAGAGCAAACTTTGGCTCAGAGCACCTCCACGTTCAGAGCTGTCAAACCCGGGCCTGTCCAGCAAAGTAAACGGTGGATTGTGGGCTTTTCCTACCCTATTTGCTTATTAAATAAAATCGATGGAGCCATCTATCTGCTGGAACTTATATGGAGACTTCAAAATGTTGGCATTGCTGCTATTTATAATATTTGTGTTCTACAGAGGTACGCCCTTACACTGATCCTGTGTACACAGACGAGACGATGACCGTTCACCAAGTACCCATCTTCAGTAAGTGACTGATCCTTCCCATCTCAGACGCCCCTTCCTGCTGCTGTGCGGTTACTCATCATTTTCCAAGCAATGCCGGTTTACACTCCTCCTCCGTTGTGTCTTTCACTCGCCTTTCCTTGGATGCATTTTTCTGTCAAAGCTCTCGGTATGCAAACTGAAGTATTCTAGTGGCCCCGAACTCAGCCCGTCTATTTTATGCTTACCATGCAATAAACTACAAACGTCACTTTGTGAATCACCCCCCTAGCCTATTAAATGTAGCTACTAGCATATGAGTTAAGAATGTAAACCCTTTTGAGGCCAATTAAAATGATCATTAACTGTTCTCATCTTGTCATTTGCAGCTAATGGAACTGAAAATAAATTGCCACCTCAACCACTGGATGCAAGTCCCTCAGCTGAGGCTGATGATCACAAAGATGGAAGAACCTCTACAGGTATGAGGACAGTCTCTGGG